TTTCTATTTGAAATTTACACTTAAATAACACTTTAAGTGTTTATTTTTTCTTAATGAATATTGAGTGGAAAATTATTTTATTCAGCTAGATTTGAATGCAGCATCATTACATTGCTAAGACAAGGTTTGATGTCGTTTTTGATTCTTTCCAGTCACGTACAATCGGATAGAGCTTTGCAACTGAATTGCTATAGAATAGAAAAATTGAATTGTAACATAATATTTTTTTTATTTTAAGAATTCTTGATACTAATTTATAACAATGACTTCGTTAAGTGGAAGGTTTTAAATAAGTGACAATTGAAAGTGACCATTAGATAGCAATGTTTTGTGTATTATTATGTTAGGTTTTATTAGGTGTCTTGTTAGGGAGTCCATATAATTGTCGAGCATTTAAATGTAGTTTATAATCACGTAAGAGTTATAACCACTAAACTATTTTATTGAAGATAAGGTTATTAAAATTATTATAATTCTTTTTTTTCTTCCTTGGACTTACAAGGCAAATAAAAATGAATGGCATGGCAATGGCAATGGCAATATACAGGATTTTATGCATATTTATATTGTCACTTACTAAATGAAATAATAAAAGTCATATAAAACATTGTTTTAAACACAAATGTACATATATCTCTACATGGAAAACATATATAGTATTTCTAAGTTTCTTATTAACAACTGTGAAAAATTCCATATTTTATATTTTCATGTATCACATTATCTAACCACGTATTTGCAGCCGCATTTCTTCTATAAAAAATCTTTTAAGGGTAATTCTGTCTGGTGTTCTCGTTAGTCGGCGTAAAAACTAAAACTTAAAACAAAACATTTCATTATTTCATTTGTAATTCAAGAATTTTATTTGTAGTAATGGATACTATTTTTAGGTGTGAATATAAAAAGCCTATCGAGTAATTTGTAGTAATCGGTTTCTAAATATTTGATAAAGAGCTTATATTTATTTATAATGTTCTGTTTATTACAATAACATGGATAAGTATTTAAAAGTCATAAAAAATGTGACTAGATAATTTTAATTCCACTTTCAGTGTGGATGATCAGTTCAGACTTTAATTTTATGTAACAAATAATAATTAGTGGATTAATATTTGATGTACTATTTTCAAGTATAATATATTTAAGTATGTCACATATTTTATTTAATAAAATTTCATACGTATTGAACGTATGAGAGTTAATCAAATTAAATTTGATACTTCATCGAGTCTCATCACAATGTTATATTAAATTGTTCAGTGTTTAAACGTGGAGATACTTTATTTAAAAGAATATTTACACGGTACAAATTTAAATTAATTAAATAAGTGTAAATGATGCTACCATAAAGCCAGTTATATAGCTTGTTACAGTTATTAATTTAAACTTATGTGATGAATAGAGCAGACGAATTCCACCAAAAGTTTTGTTTCTTTTTTAGTACTTAAATCATTTGTCATAATATTTTTATTGTAGTATTTTGTAAGAGATTTGATTACGTCAACGGGCATCATTATAGGATTCATTGTGGACTACTACTACTACCTGGTTCAGAATTAAAACAATGAAAAGCTACATAGTGGCTTAGTGCCCTACCGGTTTTTGAAATAATAAATGAGAAAAAGACACTACTAGGTTCTTTTTCTAATTTAGTATTACTGTTTAATATACGCTAAACTATTAGCAGAGAATGACTTCCGTGCATTTACTTCCAAAAGAGTGGTTTTATAATGTTTCATTTCTTCTTTACCTTTTTGTTCCTGTAAACTGAAAATAAAACCCTGACTTTGTTTGATAAAATAAAAAGTGGAAACTAATTTGTCGTTATTGTAAATACAACAATTTTTAAACAGATAATCTTACAAAATTTAACAATTGTATAATAATAACATATAATTTTACTAAAATTATTTTAGTATAATTGTTACAACATACTAAAAAGTTAAATACATAATGTGTAGGTTGACCTTTTAATGCTGAAAGTATGACTGCGTAGGATGTCTCTCCAAGTAATATAAAATAATCAAGCCGTTTTTGTACCACACAACTTCAAGGGAGTTCGTCTTCCTTTATTGTAATTTCATATTTTTAGAATCTTTATTTATGCTAAGCATATATTAAGATATTTTGAATAGTTCATATTGTCTACGACACTTCTTGGGGCGATGAAGTAACAGGATATATCGTTAATTTGCTACTTATGTAAAATTATTATTGTTGGATAATAAGGACTGTGAACAATCATTTGAATATATTTTCATCTAGCATCGTTAATTGTTATGACAAAGTAATATCTATTGATTTTGTTGTTTCTCATCACTACACATTTAAATAAAATTTAATTTATCTATATACATATACAGGCTGACTGGTGAATTACTATCGATACTTGAGGACGTGATATTTGACGATCATATATGACAAAATAAAAATTAATATAACATAAATATTAATAAACTTCTAAGTAAAGTTAACCAAAAGTTATGTAATTAATTACGCATCGTGTGAACACCCTACAGATTAGGTATACACACACACACACACGCGTGCGGCGGCGTGGTGTTGTATCAGCACGCCGCCGCACGCGTCCACACTTGGAACACTTGGATCGTGTCCACACTTTATTTATTTATACGGAAATTTGGTCAAAAATTATGTACCTATTTTTTTACATAATTCGAATGAGAATCATGTACCTACCGAGTATTCTCCTTAAATATTGATAGTTATTGACCAGTCACTCTGTTATTGTAATAAATTTTAAAATAACATCTTTAAATTACAGTAATAGTGATCACAGGTAGATTAATTAAAAATCTTTTTTATTTGTCTTATTGTTTATGTTGTAATGAATTTTTAAATATCATTACATATCAAAGCTTGGTACTTAGTAAGTGTAGTTGAATATTTTTACCGAATTTCTTTGTTTTCTTTTATAAAAAAATAATGTTTATTTATAAAGTCATTAATCGGCAACATTATTGAAAACATATGGAACGTTTCAATTATATCTTATACTCATTGATGTTGGAGTTTAAAGTTATATAGTTTGTAACCAGCCTCTATATTTATTTATTAATTTATTCGTTGGTTCGTTTGATCGTTCCTTTGTTCATTCATTCAGTCATTCGTTCATTTCACTGTGATTTAAAAAGAAATGCTGCGTTACTGCGTTACTCGATTTTGGTACCCACGTAAGTGTTAGCTGGAATGAATAGCTAGTGAGTCACAGATTAAATGTTCCAAACATATGTGGTATCTATCACGTCTAGTTAACGAGGTTCATGCCTAATTATTTTTTCTATTACTCTAGGCTTATCACTTTAGGCGTAAACGAAATAGTTGTGTTGTACTTTTTTATTATTATTTTTTTGTTTAGTAGTCAGTTTTATTCGATAACGTCGTTATATTCGTACATATTTCTTTGGAAATCTATTATGAATACTGGACTAAGTGGTCGTCGCAGCTGCTTAAATGCACCAAATATTATAATTAATAGTTCTTACGTTAAAATTCTTAAAAATTGTATTTTGTTTTGTGAATGAAAACATGCAAACTTATGCTTTCTAACAATAATTGATGAACTACTTTGTCGAAATATTATTCTGTTCGGATTTTTGACGGTCAATGACTATAAGATATCCACAAAATCTACTAAAATGAAACTGTAATAATACTTACTTTTGAAATATGTTTTATAATTCTTAACTTTTACAGTGATGACAGCTAGTGATTGTTTATTCAATTTGTTCTAAAATTAATTTTTAAAATTAAAATTACTCAACCAACTAGTAGCAGTGACCATGTCTGCGTTGTTTGATATACCTATTAAAAAAGTTTTTGTAGGAACGGAAAACACATAATTGTACCCGTAGTATTTATAAAAGTCGTTGTCATTATCAACTTCACTAGTTTAATATTAAATTCCTATATCATACTATTATTTTTTGTATCATTATTTTTTATATAAGCCTTCGAAATTATAACTGTATTATTACTTAGCTTACCTTTTTTGTGATGGAAATATTAATTTATTAATATGATTTAATTAACTGTAAATGTTAGTAAAAACTTTCTAAATTCTGTAACAATTTCCTTTATCATCTTCGAGTCTATTTCAATAAAAAAAAGAATAAAAAATCAGAACAATATGGAATTATTTGTATTCTCGTTGATAAATTTTGATATCATTATTCCCAAAAAGGATTGATGTCGGGCGGGTGGCCGGTCGTAAATACAATTAGACAAAATTATTGACAACATGTAAGACAGACCCTCGCTAAAGCGGTCAAATTGCCAGGTAGAAGATAGAAGAAGAAATTTGATATCATTTTAATTCAATGCGGTTTTTTTTTACAAATAATTCTGCGCACGACATAATATCAACATAATATGTTTATGAATGAGAAACTGTTAAGGCTCTGTATTTTCATACAAGTTTGACAGTTTCACATTTATGTTATGAGCGAAAATACTCGAACTATACGTATTATATACCATATTGTTGAGGATCATCAATATTTCCCTAAATTTGGTTACGTTTCAGAATAAGCTTTTGTATTTCTTTTACTTAATTTTTTACCCAACACCGAATTTTAAACTAGTTATCATTAATTTAATATAAGTAAATAAACTTCATACTTTGTTATTTATTCACTTGCAAAATTTAAATCTCAGTATATATTCATAGAAAACTTGATACACAGTAAGTAATAAAAGCAAAATTATTCAATAATGATATGTTTATGACAATTCCGAGTTTTTTGAACTGTTTTGTTTGAACAGAACTATTTCAATTTGTATTTCTTTAATACTCTTATCCAATCAGTCAATCAACTTGATTGATTGGTTTCTACAGGTTTTTATTACGTGACGAATATTGGTTCAAGTAGGGGATAAAGTAAAAAAGACAAAGAAAGTTAATTAATAATTATTTTGGTTCAGGTTAGTTCAAGAATTATTACTTTTTCTATATGGTGACAAATATAAACAGCTTCTCATTAATCTTATATTTCCAGTTATAGCTTCGGTGTAAAGCCTTAAAATAAATTTGTGAATTTGACAGGAATTTAAGAACATAAAATACGATGTTCAATAACATGAAGTTCATTAAGTAATAATAAAAAATGTTCTAATAAAAAAGTTATATTACTTTAGGTCAAGTCAGAAATATAGAGCTATATACATACATATTTTTATAATAATATAAATAGTGAAAATGTTACAAATAATTGAAAAGTAATTTATTATTTATAGGAAGGTCATATATTTTTGTGATAACACACAAGTTATTAGGTAAAAATAATAATTTTAATAACGTTAATGGAACGTCGAATTGATTAACGATGAGATAAATAAACATGAAAAATATTTATTCTTATTTATTTTGATTGGGGAACACAGGTATAACTACATATCTTTTTACTCGTATAATTATAATCGTGGATTTTGAATTGTAATAATATTATTTATTAGTAAACGTCCTCGCCATAAATATATATCTCCCTTGCTACAACATTTGAGCTCCAAGCTGAAATCTTGTGGTATTAAAATTCTTTTTTTGAATGTAAGTTTTATTTAATGAAGACATACATTTTTTATGATACCAAAATTATTGAATAAGTTTATTAATTATGATGCTAAATTTCAAAAGATGAAGAGAAGTCAAAAGTAACATCACACAATTTTCAGTCTCTGTTGAACAAAACAACATTGTATTTTGTAAGACTATCCTTATAATGTTTAAATCATTGATATTTTATGACAATATTTTATATGTACTTTCATTAACATTCAATTTTTGATTGAAAATTGTTATTAAATTTATTGATATCTCTCATAATTTCTATAGAGAGTGAATACAAGAAACAAAATCTTTGCTGACTTTATTATAAATGTAAAAATAACTGCATATATTTATTGTAAATATTTAAATAAGTCTTATTCATTAATTTTATTTTAAACTGAGACCCTTAGTTAAACAACTGTAAAAATTGTTTAAAGATAATCTCCATTGGAATAGGATAATATAGAACAGTCTTTCGTTAATATTTCCAGTTATAATGTCTAAAATTTGCATTTTTAAAGAATATTATTAGTTTGACCGATATCAATGTTGTTTTAGTCATTTGAAAACCAGTTTCATTAGTGTTTTTTTTGTTATGCAGTGTTAAAGTATCAACTAATTCCAAAATTATGTAAGCAATTCTGTGGTATTGTTATTCGATAAGGTGCTTAACGCGTGCAGTGTCACCATCAAACAACAAGGAATGCGTTGTTATTTTTTTTTTTTCAACAAAATTTAGTTTATTTATACATTTTTATATTTATTTGTAAATAACTTTAATCAAATAAGCGTAAATTATTGTTTTTTTTACATAAAAAGGTCATATTAAAAAAGTAATAACTTAAAGTTCCAGACGAAACTTCTCAGCATTCCATGGATTCACCGTGCGGGTGCCGGGTCCATCGCGTTGCAGGGGGAGGAGCTTCAACAGTGCCTGGGACTTGCGACCCAAGTGTAGGTTTAAGGGGCCCCTTAACTAACGCGCGTTATACGCTCACCTCCACTGTCCAAGCTCCTCTCCCTACCTAACCAAATTTGAAAAGAACCTACTAGGGCTGCCTTCGATGTACGTTCCAAGAATGCATTAATGTGAGTTCTGGACAAGCCCAAGTCCTTTAGTAGGTTATAGAGAGATTTCGCTGTTATACCTCTCGCTCCCACCTCTACCGCGTACAAATCTACTACGAACCTATTTCGAGTGAGTTCGTTTGTGAGCTCGTAATATTTGTTGACCTTGATGGTATGGTCTTTGGGGATGTTGGTTTCCCAAGGGACCGTAAGCTCCATCATCACTACGCGCTTTAAAATTCGCGAAAACAAAAATATATCCGGTCTGGAGGCCGACGCACAAATATCCTCGGGGATTTTATATTGTTTTTCATACGTGTCCATCATTATAGTCCAATCCGACGCCGCTTTAAGGATGGAGTAAGGCTTGACGTTTGATTTTGTAGCCCTAGAGCCTTCTCTCACAAAACCTACTGATCGTTCGTTTGTGGTTATTCCCTTTTGCGCTCTGGCTACCGAAAGACTAACCGCTTCACGTATGACTTCTAGAACCCTATCGTGACGACGCGAGTATTGACCGCTGTCCAGGAGTACCTTACATCCCACCAGCAGATGCTTAGCAGTTCCAACTGCCTTTCCACAGATATAGCAAGTTTTTTCGGTACTTTTACCCCATCTTACTAAATTACTCTGATCTGGGAGAGTCATCTGGAACGCATTGAGATAGAATTTTAGCAATGCTGGCGACCAATCATAAATTAAAGTGCGCCATTTTAATGCTAATGGGATGCAAAAATCTCCTATGTCTAACCACTCGTTCTGCATTTCTAAATTCATTGCATGGATCTTATATTTATCATTCTCGTCTTGCCGAATAAAAGACTTCAATATATCCGCATCTTGGACTTTCCTATTTGATCCTAACCCCGCTCTGTTACTTTGCGCTCCTATCATAAATTGCTTATGGAATTGAAGTCGTGACTCTAGCTCGGGGGCATCTTCATCTTTTGGGAGCGATGTCACTATGTCATCATGGGATTTCCCCAGGATATATCTCTTGGAAACTCTTAGGTGTTTATAGAGCTCCGATGGCCTTTTTAGACTCATCCCAAAACTATTGCTTCCCCTAAATAACGCCGATGAATCAGCCGTTAGAGCGAGCCCGAGCCACAACTTCAACATCTTTTATGACGCCTGCATCTAACTTTGACAAAAGGGTTTTATTAAAATCATAGACGAGGAAAGGCCAATTCAAACGTGAAGTTAAGTAATTCTCGTAGATCCACGCTTTTTTGACGTTACTTATCAGTTGGCTATCTACCTTGTTAAGATCGTTCAAAAAGCTATCTACTATTCCTTCTAAAGATGGAGTACGGCCTATATTATCTATCTTACGACCGAGAAATTTAAATGGTGCATTTTCCGTAACCGTAGAAATGCATTGACCGCCTAACGATAGTCCCGGATCGTATGAGGTGTATCTTGTATTCCGCCTACCAAGACACAGACAGTGACATTTACTGGGTTTTGTCCTCAATCCATCCGTCCACTCACAGAATTTATCCACTTCATCCAATAGTACTTGACAGTGTTTGGGGTTACGTGTCAGTATTGCGAGATCGTCAGCGAAGGCTAAAATGGATTCCGTGTATTTATTATTAAACTTAAACCGATAACCCCATTTTTTCTCGTTACAGATTAATTTGTCTACTAAGATGTTAATTACGATATTAAACGCAATTGGAGATAGACAACAACCTTGAAACAGTCCTACATTATAACTCAAACTTTTTGAAGGGCCTTCTTTAGTTATTATAGAAAACCTTAATTTTGAGTAATACGACGCGATCATATCTCTAACTAGGGGTGGAAAGTTGTACCATCTAAGCGCGAATAGCATCAATTCGTGTTGTATCGACCCGAACGCGTTCTCCAAGTCTATCCAACAAACAGTGATTTGCCGCTCGCTTTTTCTAGCATCTTTTAAACTCTCCGACAGCAAGGTGTTGTGTTCTAAGCATCCAGAAATCCCGGGTAAAAACCCTTTCTGGTGATTTGGCCTAAAATAGTTGTTGCTGAGCATGAATCGCGTCATTCTCGTTTGTAGAACCGAGAAAAAGATTTTCGATATAGTATTTGTTAAAGCTATCGGTCTAGTATCTTTCGGATCAGTAACTCGATCTTTTTTGGGAATGAGGACAAAAATTGCTTTCCCGAAGCACTCCGGGATTTGCTTCCTTGACCAGATTTTACCGTATATATTTAGGAGGTGTTTACGAACCGATGCACATTTTTTAAAGACTATATATGGGATACCATCGGGTCCCGGTGCAGATTTAGACGACTTCCTCTTGATCTGACTACTTAGTTCCTCTAGCGTTGGTGGAATGCCGTGGAATTCGATTCGAGGAAATTCAGGTTTTTGATCGTTTGGATCCCTATACCGTCTTAAACTTTTAGGCACTTCGTATGTGCTCTTAAAATGGTCGTAAATTTGATCGTTGGTCAAGAGAAGCTGTCCGCGTTCTTTCTTAAAAATGGTTTTCGAATACTCAAAAGGGTTTTTATCGAAATCTACTTCTTGTTTTGCCCGGTCAAAATTATCGCGATATTCTGCAGTTTGCGCCGATATTCCTTGGATTAATTTAAGGATTGACCTTAACGCCCTAGCTAGTTGATGACTAAGGTGATTGTCGCCTAGAGCTTTGGCTATACGTAGATTTTTTATTAATTCCCGTTTTTTCTTCCGCATTTTTAATTTGAACGAATTGTCATTATTTTTGCGAGCATAACGATTACGTGGTGGATATTGCTCGCTAAAGTAGTCATAAACGGTATTTTGGAAAGTTTCTACCTGCGAGTTCAATTCCTGCTTCGAGCCCGGATGCTCTAACAGGACCGCTAAGTTGTCGTCATGCACTTTCCAAGTCGATTGTTTTAGATTAGGAATGCTAAGACGTGTCCTGATGTTAATGGACTCCTGGTGGTTTCCAGTTAATGGTTCACCATGGGATACATGAGGGTCAACTCTATCCGAAGTGAATGTTGTAGATCTTACCGACGATTGTCGTGCTTCAACCCCATTATGTGTTTTTAGATGTTTAATGTACCAGGCTCGTCTCTTGTAGTTTTTCCCGCACGTAGAGCATTTCAAGTCCGTATTCGCGCCGTTTTCGCCGTTAAAATCGACCGGTGGACAGTTCTTCCGCCCCCCCTCTCGGACTGTCCCAGGGGTATTTTTCTTCTTCGGACTTTTAGCTTTATGTATACCGGGTTGGGCTTGCTAGGCCGTCGCCCTCGGCTGTCTTTCCAGCAGTCATCCGTCTTTCCGGCAGTCATCCGTCTTTCCGGCAGTCAGCTGTCTTTCCAGCGTCAGCCCGTCTCTCCGGGCAGTCGTTTTAAATAAGACGAAACTTCTCAGCATTCCATGGATTCACCGTGCGGGTGCCGGGTCCATCGCGTTGCAGGGGGAGGAGCTTCAACAGTGCCTGGGACTTGCGACCCAAGTGTAGGTTTAAGGGGCCCCTTAACTAACGCGCGTTATACGCTCACCTCCACTGTCCAAGCTCCTCTCCCTACCTAACCAAATTTGAAAAGAACCTACTAGGGCTGCCTTCGATGTACGTTCCAAGAATGCATTAATGTGAGTTCTGGACAAGCCCAAGTCCTTTAGTAGGTTATAGAGAGATTTCGCTGTTATACCTCTCGCTCCCACCTCTACCGCGTACAAATCTACTACGAACCTATTTCGAGTGAGTTCGTTTGTGAGCTCGTAATATTTGTTGACCTTGATGGTATGGTCTTTGGGGATGTTGGTTTCCCAAGGGACCGTAAGCTCCATCATCACTACGCGCTTTAAAATTCGCGAAAACAAAAATATATCCGGTCTGGAGGCCGACGCACAAATATCCTCGGGGATTTTATATTGTTTTTCATACGTGTCCATCATTATAGTCCAATCCGACGCCGCTTTAAGGATGGAGTAAGGCTTGACGTTTGATTTTGTAGCCCTAGAGCCTTCTCTCACAAAACCTACTGATCGTTCGTTTGTGGTTATTCCCTTTTGCGCTCTGGCTACCGAAAGACTAACCGCTTCACGTATGACTTCTAGAACCCTATCGTGACGACGCGAGTATTGACCGCTGTCCAGGAGTACCTTACATCCCACCAGCAGATGCTTAGCAGTTCCAACTGCCTTTCCACAGATATAGCAAGTTTTTTCGGTACTTTTACCCCATCTTACTAAATTACTCTGATCTGGGAGAGTCATCTGGAACGCATTGAGATAGAATTTTAGCAATGCTGGCGACCAATCATAAATTAAAGTGCGCCATTTTAATGCTAATGGGATGCAAAAATCTCCTATGTCTAACCACTCGTTCTGCATTTCTAAATTCATTGCATGGATCTTATATTTATCATTCTCGTCTTGCCGAATAAAAGACTTCAATATATCCGCATCTTGGACTTTCCTATTTGATTTCCATTTCACGATTAAAATATGTAAATTCAATGTTTTTGTGTAACACATACTGATCAAAACTTTAAAAAGCCTTTATAATCCAGTACTAAGATTTAAAAATACGTTTAGTAAATAACTATTTCAATAACGAATATTTTTTATGAAAGAAAAAAAAATCAGTGGCCTATTATTTTGTGACTGCAACATTTAATTTTAACAACTTGGCAGCGTTGGTCACACTGTAACTTTTATGGGCTATCAAAAGTCATATTTATAACTAAAAATGGCGGCTACTGAACGTATGATACTATTATGTTCTATTAACGACGATTGATATCTGACGTAGTCTAACTTGTGATAAAATAAACGAAATGTTTTTTAATTTCTTTCATTTTAATAAATATTTAATAACCAATACAAGAATCACAAAATGGTTGTCTAAAATTTTATCATTATTTTTACGAGTTATATCTTTTTAATAAACAATTTGTAAGTGTACTTAAAAGAATAGGAAAACAATTAAAATATATTTGATTGGAGACTAACCATAAATCTTTAAAAGATGTACATATCATGTTATTTTTAGCAGCGCTGAGTACCTCACATCTTTTGATAAAAGATCTCATAGCAATAAGCTATAATAAGCATCATAACTATTATATAAAAAGTGTAAATATAACGTTGACATAGCAATAAAATTAAATCTTTAAGTTATTTAAATATTTAAATAAGATGCTCAACATGATCTAGAAACTTCAGACCTTATAAGGTCAAACAGATATCTTTTTTGTATTTAAAAATCCATTATATATAAAATGACTTTTTCACACAAAAAAAGAGTCATTAAAACAGGTCTATAAATTAAGGTATCATCTTTCTTGAAATTTTACTAACATCTTACAAATGCCTGCCCTCACACAAATTATGTTATTTTTTAAAAAACTTGAGAGACTTGTTGAAAGTACAAAAGTCTGAAATATTGAATAAACACCTAACCGAATGTGAAATGTATTTTCCGATGCAAGTAAATATTTCACAACCTCTTCCATTAACAAATAGGTAATAAAATTATTGGAAAAATATTCTACAAATTCAGTTTGAACAAAGCCATATCTTAAAATAAAAAGTTAAAAGTAATTAATATAGTAAAAGCTGTATAAAAGCTATTAGTTTCATTTTTCAGTTGAGGTTTATTCTGACAAGCAAAGATTATTATTTGTTGAAGCATTTTTTGAATTATATGGCTATGGATATAGAGGAGCCATGTTTGACCAATTATAACGATTTTTTTTAACAATGAAATATTGATCTCTGTAATTCTAACAGACGCATCAAAAGTATCCACTGATTACGTTGTAATTGATCTCGCTCCCATTATTGCTCCGTCCCTGGTCTAAAATATTTTTCTCTCCATTTTAACCATCATAACCGATATGAAATTCACTTTATTTCTTAGATGCCAGTATGAGAAAAGTTTGCCTTTTAGAACGATGGATTGTCTCCTTTTGGTAGTTTTCTTTAGTATAATTGTGATGTGGAGTTCATGCTTGCTTACGTTTTTTTGTGTTATTTTGCATGAAAATCAAAAACCATAATTTTAATTTATATTTCGTTATAACTAGAAACACGTAGACTCACAGTCAATGGTTTGTGTGCTAACTATTACTATTACTTACTTGTTCACCAAACGATGTTAAATTTATCTTTTACTATAATAGCTTTGGCATATATACATTATACATACAAAACCTTCTAAGAACTAAAATCACGGAAGCATAACAAGTGGTTAATTCTCGTTATTTTAAAAATACACGACGTCAGTTCAACTCATCATTTGATAAAAGTTAATTAAGTTGTTTAAATAAACTTCAGCTTTTTCACAACAATTTCAAAATAATTTAACTAATTGTACATACATCTTACATGGGTATAGATTATTATTAAATCGCAAAATATTCATCACTTTACAGATAAACAGATAAAATGGAAGAAAAAAGACGGTAAGAAAAAAAAAGGAACAGAGGGTTTTTGTAGTTATTATTTACTTTTAGAACGATCTTTGTCATTTAAATCTACTGTAACGCGGGTAAAATTATAATTTTTTACTCAGGGAATAACAATAAGCACTTACTAAAAATAGTTTTCCGTGGTCTTATTTCGAAAAGACTATTAAGTTTAAACGTTTGGGGAAACGCTAAATATAGAACGAAAACTAAATAGGTAAGGAAGTGACCGATGATGACATAATTTATCCTAACGAACCGGTCATAGTGCGCTAAAGTTTTAGGGTCGGGTCGAAATTTAAAGTTATTTTTCTATCCTTAGAATTTGTTGTATATGTTTTCCTCCGATATTGGAACAACTATAGTTCGTGGGACAATAATATAATTCGTTTTTTTATAACTGAAACGCCCAACAAGATACATACATGTGATTGGAGCAGTTATCTAAAAAGATATCCAATCATTGTCTTTGGAGATTTAATAATGTAATGTTAAATAAAAGAATATATTAAATTTGGTTGTCATAAAGCATTACTTAGAAACCTGTTTGTTATGCCATAAAGAGAGAATACATATAACAAATAGCCGAAACTATTCATAAACATGTAAGGCAGACCCTGGCTATAGCTGGGAAATTGCCAGGTAGAAGAAGAAGAAGAAAGAGAGAATACATAAACACGTATCCTTTACGTAAAAGTATTTATCAAGTTATACTATTATTATTAATTGTATAATTATAATAATTCATACATTAGTTTTAATAACTACATATATTATATATATTGTGTTCTGTAACCATATTAATTAACGTTCTGTTTCCGTACATTCTAAAATATTGACAAAGACTGTTCTTTTAGCCGGGCGGCAAAGTCCTATAAATGAAAATAAGTACGATGTTACGGTTCATATTGAAACAAAGTTTTGTATTTTTAATGATAACAGGTTTTTATTAAATCTAATTCCGTATATTAAAATAGGAATGGCTCTTTTTAAACAATGTGTAGAATTTTCCTTGTGGAGTAACTAGTTCTTATTTATATCCTCTTATATACTCGGTATATGTGTCAAAAAACTTTCATAAACAGATGCCTTATTATTACCGTGATTAAAGTACTAATTGTTTTTTAAAATATTGTATTTTGGCAATTTTGAGTGTTTATTAATAACACAGAGTAAAGGGAGTCAAACGAAGCGTGAGTGATTAGCGTGAAAAGTGAGAGATGTTTTCTTATCCCTTATTCAGTTTATTAGAGTTCTACTCTGGGACTACTAGGGAAATTCTTTTTTTATGTAAATTTGTTTCTAGTAAACTTTGACACAACATTTAAGTGTTAAAGTATGTACTAATATTCTTGTTTAGTTTTGTCATCTCGATCTATAGATTTAGATAATTCAGATAATATATTTGTAGATGTATTATACATTGTCCTCTTAAATTTTTACACGCTTATAAATATATTTTATATTATGGTATCAAACTTTTAATTTTCTTTTTCCTGAACAAATATTGATAGCGCAATTATTGGAACAAGCGACACTTTAATAAATCAATTGAATACTTTTTCCGATATAGGCATTACGCTTCTAAACATTAATAACTATGATTGAGAATACGTGACCCAAATACTGATTTAATGGCTACTAATTTCAGTAAAAATTATAGCTTTAAGAAGGAATAAGCAATAAATATTATGATGCTCAGTAAAAAATACAGGCACTTAACCCATTAAAATGATTATTTCTTAATAAAAAAGATACTATTTCAAATATAGTACACAAAGTTTAACTTTCTTTTATGAATTGTTTTCACTTATTTGTAGCATAAAATTTCACCGGAATTAACTTACTTTTTTGAAACATAGATATGCTCAAATCGGTTTGTTTCGGAAATCGGAAAATTATACGAATGAGTGAATGTATAAATGCTGCGTAGTCTGGCGTTGTAAACTATTGTGATCTCAACATTGGCCTTGGAACTTTGTCGAGTGCTTTTCTTTTTACCCTAGTTCCTTGACGGGCTATACTTAATCGTTCAATTGATGGGTGCAAAAACTTAATCAATGTATTTATTATATCAATCCAATGGAATATATGAATCATAAATGTATATTTTTATGTTGTTATGTATTTCTAGTCACGGTTCAATATTCCAAGCGTGTACGTGCAATAAGTTGAAATAAGTCATTTATTATAAACTTTTAATGAATTTTACTTCAAACTCACTTACGATAAATTCCGTGAAATAGATATTATATTCATTTGTTTAAGAATTACCGAAATGCTTTGCTAGCAAGTATATATTGTAAGAAAAGACCATTTTTTTGCTCCTGAAGAATTTCGTATTATTTAATGAGAAAATTATGAAAAACTTAGGTAATAATGCGATAAACTATTACATCTTTAACCATCAGGAAAGCAATATATTAAATTAAATCGTTAAAAAGATATCTTAGTTTGTGTTAATTTTATTTTTGGCTTCATTTTTAATTTAACGTGAGGCTGAAGCCTTTAATTTTGACTTAATATGACGTGCAAAAAAATATAATAGAGAAATGATGTAACATAAAGTTATATAATCGTGACCATCATTATTATCATATGAAAGCCAAAGCGTGTAAAATTGACGTTAGGTAAAATTTAAAATTTTTATATAGCCACCGCTAGCGTATAGAATACCGTGGAGTGTGAATTATAAATCAGGGTTAGACATGACGGTCGGTGTTCATTTAATGTGGTAGAACCTACCTGCGATCAAATGATTAGAGCTCGAAAATTGGCTGGTTTGACCGGGAAAGAACCAACCTTTTACAGAAGATCGGCGGAAAGTAGTCTTTATTGGCTACTTTTCGTGCAATGAGTGAGAGCGGCGGCTGCCCTTTAAGCATAGGCAATATTACTACAACCTCCCATGAGGTAGGCTGT